CATTTCACACAGCTTGTGCCACAATCCATTTATTGAAAGACACGTTTGGTGACCGCCTAATTTCACGTTTTGGACCTGTATATTGGCCTCTAAGATCTTGTGAGTAAACACCGCTAGACTACTTTCTGTGGGTCTATGTGAAGTCATTGGTCTATGCGGATAAGCCACAAACGCTTGACCATTTGGAAGACAACATTCGCCGTGTTTTTGCCGATATACGGCCGCAAATGTTGGGAAAAGTCATCGAAAATTGGACGTCCAGATTGGACTACATCCGAACCAGCCGTGGCGGTCATATGCTCATATACTTTGCTTGGAGGAACCAGGAACTTGCAATCCTAAAAAATACAAAAAACAACAAATGGAAAATACTTAAATGGAACATAAACACTAAAACATCTTTGACGCTTTATATAGAAGAGCAATTAAAGTAGCAGCCTTGCACAACTTTACCGTGCTGCTCAAGATCATATGGGACGAAAGATCCCTTGTAGAGCATTTACCGTCGCTCACACACTGCCAAGTAAATTGATATATTGCTGCACCATGTCAAGACATCCAACTACACGGATTTGCCGACGCATCCTCGCACGCTTATGGTGCGGTAGTCTGCATTCGGGTCGCATAAGGGTAACTAGCTATTGTTATCGCTTTATTCATCGTCTTTGTTTGCGTCACAGGACTGTTTCTGAGTCTCTCACATAAACGGAACTGCAGGCAACACGAGACCTACAAGGACGGACAAAAATTTTGGAAGCGTTGGCATGTGGAAAACTTTACTTCACTGCACGAGCGCACAAAATAGCAAATGGAAAGAGACAATATAAAAATAGTCACACTAGTAGTAAATAAGGAAATCTACCTCCATCAAATTGGATCCTAGGACGGAGCCAGGAGCTACGCGCCGGACAAGAAGACAAGGTCCGAGTTGTTACCGTGTGAGGAATACCTCACATTTTTATAGAAATAAGTGTAGATAAGTAGATAAGTAAATAAGGATAGTATAAGAGACAACGCAAAGACCCACGGAGGGCACTAACACCTAGGGAAAAACCACACGCACACCGCGCGGGAGAGGAAAGGAGAGAAGAAAACGCCGCCGCAGCACAGTGGGCGATTTGGTCTCGCTAGCGGCATTAAATTAATAACTTCGAAAATAGATGTCTTCAATCGGTTTTTTTCCACTGATCAGAAAAAAATCATAGAATTTTAAAAGTAAAAAAAATTTTTTTTTAATTTAAAAAAAAAACAATTTTTTAGAAATACATTTTTTTTTACTTTTAATTTTTTTTTATTTTAATTAATATATTTCATAAATAAACTTTATACAAAAAAGGCTAGAATGTTATTCGGAATCATCGGAATCTGAGAGAGGCATATCCAGATGCGTTATTAGAAGCAAACTCTTAACATCATCGTCCATAATAATTGTTTCTGTAGACGTAATTGCAGACCCATTTGACAATGAAGTTATCAAAGGGTCGGAAGAAACTAATAGGGCATTTATCACATCTTCCATGGTATTTTTCCTGCAATTTTTTCTTGTATTGCTCTCGCGTACGTTTCGGAAGTCCTTGTTCCTGGCTTCAAGAGCTTCCTCGGACATCATACCAATTGGAAGGCAAATATGGCTTATAATGTCTGCTCCATGAATTCAAATTCTGTGAACAGACGATGGCATATAAAACCAGGGATATGAATTCACAGACAATTTAGCTGTTTCCAATGCGTAAGACCGGAATGCCTCCGAATTTATTTCGTAGCAACATGCCAGTGCTTGTAAGACTACGCTGAATCGATGTATTAAATTATAGCCTACTCCTGTTATACGAGCAGCCAAATTTGGTTGTTCGAAAAACCTCCTTGCAGTGTTTCCGTTGTTCGTACTGCCAGCAGTAGCAATTGGTATATCTACCAGCAAATGCATTTCTTCCCTCAGCTTCTGCTGAATACTTTTTTTATTTTCTTCAACAACAACCTTGTCAACACCTCGAGCTTGCCACTTTTGTATAGGAATTCTATATGCAATGTGCAAAACACACTCGAAAAACCTAATCCAGGCGTGAAGACTTGATAAGCCATATTCAAAGAGCTTTTCATTAATAGACAAGCTCTTCACCAAATTCAGATCGTTCATATTCCTTGGAGTTGCGTTACAGATTCCGCAAGTTTGCGAAGAAGATTCCGACATGACACTGAACGTTTTGCCATCAAGCATGGTCATATGAAATTGGGTATAAATTCTAAAGCCACTCACTAATGTTGGTAAAATATTTGATATTTGGCTTTTAATATTTTCACTTTCTCTGCGAATTAAGTCTGCCGATTCTTTCTCGCAAAGTATCTTAATGGGTCGACAATATCGAGAAGAAGAAGGTCTATTGTTTTTCCATAAAACTATTGGTTCGTTCTGCACTGTTAATGGCACCATACAAATTGAAAATAAATATTGATCTATCATGTTTCCATCAAAATCATCAAATTTTTGCCTGTACGTTGAATGGCCGCTGCTGCCATCACAGCCCCATTTGTATGTAGCAGTTAATTGGGTGTTATTATTGTTTTCAATATGGGTTGGAAAACTTTCTGGGTGTGCTTCAATAATCCTAGCAATCGTATGGTCCACTAAGCTTTGTTATGCTACTTCAGCGAAATGATCTGTGACCGTGATGACACTGGGATAGCATTTTTTTTTCGCACAACGCAGTTTATCGTAGCATGGATATATATCAGCGTTTTGTCCTTTGGCGGCTCTCTTTGACAAATTCCATGTGTACTTGGTATGTCCAACATCTACAAATAGGGCCAGTGCTTTTTCATCAGAAAATTTTGACGGTAGAGGCTGTGGGGTAGTCATCGTTTTTGTTATATTACCGCAAAACTCTTCGTCGGCGTCGTTTATCATTGAGACCAACTGTGAAGCACTGCGTTTTCCAGCTTTATACAAGCTGCAGCTTGCAGCTATCAACAATGCATCTGATGGGACATCTTCAGTTAGGTCTGACAATTTGTTCACTTGCGTTTTTTTGCAACAATCCGAAAAAACTTTTTGTGGACGTCCAACATTTTTTGAAGATGAGATTGTCATTAATACCAGCGGCGTATCTAGCCATTCCTCGTTTTTGGTCTCGAAAAAATCCTTATTTCTTCCACATTCTTTCCACTTTACTATCAGCCTACTAGTAAAATTTCGCAACTTTTTGCCAATCTCGCACTGCTCCTCCAAAGTATATGTAATGTTTTTTACAACAGTATTAAATACAAAGTTTTCCATGGCAACAAACTTCTTGGTTGGGATTACTTCTGAGTGCCATACTAAAAAAAGATCCCTTTTTGCTACTGACATTGTTCCTAAAAAGTACCATAGTTTAAAGGCTAGCAGGTAATAGCAGTTGATATTACACATTTTGGACGCCACTGATTCACACTTTCGGCTAATAAAAGAGTTAGACTGAATCCACTTGAATCCGGTAAGTTCGACTCCACGAAAGACAGGTGTACGCTTATCCGGGCTCGTTGTTAATACACTGAATTACCACTACGTTTTATGAGCTACACATTTATAGACCGGTCACAAACATAGATTTTATTTGTAGTACATACCTTGAAGATAATAAAAAGCCAAACCTTTGATAAATTCAATAAAAAATGTAAATTTCCGAGGAATTCGAAATTAATGCGCGCAAAAAGAAAGAATTTTGTAAAGCTTTTTGCAAAATCAGCCGCAGCTGAAACGAAGCCGAAGCTGAACACGAAGGGGTCCTCTGCCCGACAGCGCAGCAGCCGAGACGATCGTGAGCAGAGGGCGGCAGCCGAAGCTTAGCGATTCGCGGATCGACACAGTCCCTCGAGAGCCGGCAACGGAGCCGGACGTTTTCGGTCGTAACGAACAAACAGGAACTTGGACAGAGATTTGGAATAATCAATCGACGCCGCTGCCCAAAGGATGCAGGAGGAGTAAAGGGGTAAGCTGGCCGAGGGCCCAAAATCCCAAACAGTGGGAGGACATGTGTAGCGGATAGGTTAGGGATAGTGTTAAAAATAAAGTGTGACAATGAAAAAAAGGACAACAGCGTGTTAGTGAGAAGTCGGGAGTGTTCGGGAATAGTGCCCCACGCTACCGGGACAAAAGGGGAATGAGGACTCACGGTTGACGGAGCCCCTCTTTCCTCCGGCAGCCCGGGGAGTGTTTTTTTGCCTCGGGGAAACTGGCCCACGGGTGACGGGGCCGGCCTCCCCTCTCCGGAAGGTTTCCCCACGCCGAGATTGGAAAACGCGCTACCGGGTGACGGGGCCTGTTTTCTCCAATTTTCGGGCCGGGAATTCGGTATCCGGGTGACGGTATCGGATTTTCCCGCAGTTTCGTCTTTGGGGGCTGGAAACCGACCCACGGCTGACGGGGTCGGCTCCTGCCTACACGGACCTTTACTTTCCTCTCCCCCCTCTATGACCCGACACAGTCTTCGTCCGTTATCCTGTCTGTCTTAAAGATAGAAATATTTTCTGTAAAGAGACCCTGGAATGACTGAGTTTCATCCCAGCTATAGAACTACTTTACAACCGTCAAAACCGGCCAAGGAGTCCTTAAGCGCCTGATCACCAAAATAAATGGCAGGTATGTTTGGAAATCAGTCAGTCACACTTTTGCTACCAACGCAACCAAAGCGCATGGCGCGATTTATTCTACTAATCATTGAAATGTTCGGCGAAGACAAAAAAATATCTGTGAAAACAGTTACACTAATGGCGTGATTTAAGATAATGTAACGTAATAAGATGTTGTAACTTTCAATGGGTTTGAATAATGTTTAGGAAGCGGTTGAATCGTTTTAATGACAATTTTAAGGTCTTGAAACCCAATCTACTGTTACATTCTCCGTGTTGCACTGTGTTATATAGAGTACATTCTGTAATTTAGTATCGTCGTACCATCTTTTGCAAATAATTCTATCTGCGCATCCATACCGTAGTTTTAAGTAATTTTAATTCAAAAACAGTTTTATTTATTTTACAATTTATTGGATAGTAATTCTTTATCTTAAAATAAGCTTCCATTTAATCTGCATATTTTCGATTTAATTACACTTTTCTGGACATATTATTACACATTCTTTAGCCTTTAAGGAAATACTTATATTATAAATAAATGATTATGCTTATTTAAAAATGATGTATTGATCAACTAAACTACTAACCATCCAAAAACAACTTAATTTAAATTAAATTTTATGCACACAATTACATTAGTTTTAAAGAAAAATCATGAAAAGAAAAGCTAGATATACCATTATTACTCTTTGTTTCCGTGTGAGTTTATCCAACGATTTGAAAAACCTTTTTTATTAGTTACATTAAACATTTGTTTACTTCCAAATACATTCTTTGGGTAAAATAATTTAAAAAATTTAACATATTCACTTAGTGACAACGGTCAAATCAAGTTTTTTTGTTTTAGTCATTGAAAACGTTAAGTGGATCTTAAGAACCTATTATAAAATAACATTTTCATTAATTTAAAATCATAAAGTTTTAATTTATAAAAAAATGCGTGGTGTAGCTTACGAAAATTGACCAGGATTTTATTATAGTACATCAAGGGCGCCCGAATTTTTGTTTTTTTTTACTTGAGAATATAATGAAGCCGCCTTGTAATTGATAGGTCCGTAGTGTTGACTCTCCAGATCAGCATAAATAAATTCATCATCAAAACTTTCGGCATTTAACGGCTATTGTGTTGATACGGAAAACAATAGATGTTATAAAAACTGTCAAATAACCCAAATGTTATGCTGGTAAGCATAGCTTGTTCATGCAAATGAATAACGGATAGCGCCTAATTTTTAATTACTTATATTATGATGTGACCATCAGATAATCAGAAAGTGGCTTGCAAATAAAAAGCAATTTAATATGGTGATGATTATAATAAATATGAAATATTTAACAAAAATTAAAATATAATTACAAGTTTACCTTTTTTCTAGTGGGACAATAGACAATTTCTCTTTGTTATGGGAAATTTAATCAAATAAAAATTTAGAATATATATGTATTGCTGCTTTTATAAGGATCCTCAAAGTCGGAAAGGTGCTAAAAAATTACAATTGATATCGTTTAGGTCGAGTGAAAAAAATGTTTGTGGATAAGAGTAAATTAAGTTTTTGTTTGTTTGTTTTATTCAAATACCATGTGAGCTTAAGCACACGGCTGCCGCCAGAAGAATTTATTAAAAGTTTTGTTCTTAAGTTAAATTGTAAATAATACTTATTTTGCTTATGATTCCTTTTGATTTATTAGTATTTAATATTTTACATGTTATTATTTAAACAGTTAATAGTTGATTGAACAAATAATTAATACGATAATATATATTGTTGTTAATAGACCGCATCATTTATACATACAAATTTTCAAACTTAACATACACAGTCTGGCTATTAGATTATATTATCTCCTAGATTATTGCTTAAAGTTTATATATGTAATATTTGCATTTTGGGTCAGAGGTAAAATTTGGAAATGTAGGAATGTATTAGTCGAAAATTATTTTCATTGACCTAAGCATTAAATAATAACTTTATTAAATAAAAAAAAAAGCATACTTAATTTGCGCTATGGAATCTATTAGTTAAAGAAATCTAAACGTAAGATTTTATTTCCACGGATGGGTGAACTGATACTAGAAGATATATGGCTTATTCCACGTGAAACGTGACAGGCCAATTAAGGTCAAATCTCAGAAGTGATCGATATATCTTAACATCCATTTGAACCATCCTGCAATATGTCGCAGACAATCCCTATTTCGAAGTAATAAGTAAACTCTTTTTCGACGAACCTCTCTATAAATTACAGGGAAATCTAAGAGTACAGACATTTTGGCAGTCTTTCTTTGCTTACAAATATAATATTAAAACAAGAGAGAACGCTATAGTTGGGTGGCCAACTATTACATACCCGTTACTCATCTAAAGGGAGTGCTGTGGAGATGGTTATATGAAACGTTGATCGCGCTTAACTCTAAGCGAATGGTCCGATTTGAAAATTTTGTCTTCTACATTTCGATGGTTACTGATAAACACAATAAAACAGCATTTTTACTTTTCTGAAATCTTTAAAGGTATGGGCGCCAGTTTTCAATCGTTTAAGGCGATTGCGGGCGCAAGAGGGGGCGGGGCCCTTTGCTGAAATAAACTTGCGTAGGATGCCCAAGAATATGTGTGGGTAGTCCGAACTTTCTAGCTTATGTAGTTTCCGAGATCTCAGAGTTCATACAGACAGACAGAGAGACTAGATCGACTCGGCTAGTGATCCTGATCAAGAATACATATACTTTATAGATGGATCCATAACTAAGCTTAGCAATTTAAGCATCTTGGACAATTTTCTTAGGACAAAACCTATAATATGGACCAAAGGGTATATTGCAATCGTGCAAAAGTAAAACGTAGAAGGAAACGTTTCCGACCCTATAAAGTATACACATTCTTGACCGTGATCACTAGCCAAGTTGATCTAGCCATGTCCGTCTGTCTGTCCATATGAAACGCTCCGATCTCGAAGCTATAAAAGCTAGAAGATTGGCATTTTGCATGCCGATTCTACGAGTTCCTACGCAGCCCAAGTTTGTTTCATCCTTTGCCACGCCCACTCTAACGCCCACAAGCTGTGGCGCGCACAGTTTTGATGCTATTATGAAAAGTGTAACTGATGTGTATTTGTTTTGTCAATACCTATCGATTGGCTTATTCAAAGTTATCCACGACCCCTCTAGCGCCCACAAAACCATTAAACGCTAAAACCTGTCTAGCGCCACAATTTCCGCCTTTAATGGCCAGTAATAGATGGCGCAATACAATTTCAAAATTGGAGCGGCGGTAGCACCGTCTAGCTGCCATCTCTAAAAAAGCGCCGAATTCAAATGGATTATTATTTGTCTTCTGTGACACCCTCTGGTCATTTTAATTTCCAATATGTTAATTCAAAATCTAAATTATTTGAAATAGGGCGCACGAAAAACATACAAGAAGGCATATTTATATTAAAGTTGTTTAGCTCAGTAACGGGTGTTTTATAAGCGAGACACTCGTCCATAGCGTTCTCTCTTGTATTTGGCATTTATGCCCGTTACTCGTAGAGATTAAGGCAGTGCACTGCTATGAAGTATAGATATTTTCAATCTAGCCAAGTCCGTCCGTCCGCCTGTCTAGCGTTCTCTATTGTTTTATTTAAATTTTAGCAACATTTATGCGCTGTGCCTTAAGATATGCTTTATATTTTAGTAGACCTCAAATGCTATAAAATTTTTACATTTTGGAATATCGGCATTTACAACTTTGAAAATACTGTAAAAGGAAACTACAGGCCTAAATTCGTTAGTCCTTTGGTATAAACTTGTTTAATGTATTTAAAAAAAACCCATTACTCGGTTCGGTAATTTTTTTTTTTAACTGTCTTCGGTTTTAACCAATTAGATTGGGTAGCCCAGTGTGCGTTGATAAATTTTGAAACTGTTGTAGCTGACCAAAATTCAAGGATTCAACCATTTAACAGATTAGAGAACTCACTAGACATACAATACTTTTTTCATGTTTTGCCTTTTTATAAAAATTGGTTTTTAAGTACTAAATATACAAATACTGTAATGTAAATATTATAATGTAAAATACCTTGTCTGCGTCACTTAGGCTTGATTTTCAATATTTTTGTTTATATTAAATGTGTACTTCACAACTGCTTTGCGACATAAAGTATTCAAGAGCACCTGCAGTCGAGTTTTTAATAGCTTTCGATGTAATAGTGCTGTTAGCCGGGGCAGTACTAAGATTGTCCGAGGTGGGATAGTTATCGTTGTCAACCATACATTCTTCTTCACAGAAACTGTATCCAAGGTCTTCGTCATCCTCTGTACCATTTAAATGGTGATTCTGATAGCTTGTCCCTTGCTCTGCCAAAGCTGTCATAGTAGGTGTAGGTGAAATTGGCTTAAAAGCATGCTGTTCACTTAACTCGAGCGGACTAAACACCAAGGGAACATTTTGTTTCTCGAACTCCCTTTCTTGCAGCTGAAGTTGATGTCGCTCTCGCAGCTCATGTAGCATGCTGTTGGCTGTCTGTGTGCTATGGAAATGAAAGGTATGATGTTTACGCAATGGCAGGCGTATAGGCCGTCGTACCACTAAGCAATCATATTCTTCATCGGCCGGAGAACTTGTTAAGTTTGAAGATATCTCGGGCGGATAATTATCGATGCCGGCTACAGAACCTAACCGAGAAGTCTGGATCATTAATTTTTTTGAAACTAGCACTCCTTCACTTATTGTTCTATTGGCATCATTCCCGAATTTTCTGTAGGTAGTTTTGGCTGCATTGTTAATAATTTCCATTTTCTCTGTTGATGTTGTTTGTGAATCACCCGAGTCACATTTGTGGCCATAGCTGAAAGCTTTAAAGGCATCTGAACGGTAGCCTTGGGTTTTTCTGGAGACATCACCTTGACGCCTTTGGATATGTTCGTATGGGTTGCTGATGGTTTGTCGTCGCTGCTTTCTGTTGTTTTTATCACCGGTGTATGTGTTATCGTTTTTATATTTAACTAGAAATGGATTAATAGCCAACAATTTTTTTTTCTGCGGTTAGATTAATCATTAAGTTGTTAAAAATCATGCATCGATGTGTTTGTGATGTCGCCGTGTTAATCCAAAGTATATAACAAATCATGTAAGTAAATAAAGTACAAATATAATAATTAAAAGCAGAATAATGATATGCCTTAGCCAAAAAGCCCCAAGGACTTTGACAGGGTTTTATTTAGTAAGCCTTTTAAAAACAAAATACCGTTGTATTAATTAATATTTTGGGAAAAGTAATATAAAAAAAGAGACCTATTAAAATACACTCTCAAAAGTATCTTCAACAAGAGAGAACGCTATAGTCGGGTGGGTGTACCGACTATCTAATACCAGTCACTCAGCTAATGGAAGTGCGAGGGAGATGGATATATGAAATTTTAATTGCGCATAACTTTTTAATGAATGGTCGGATTTGAAAAATGTCTTCTACATTTCGATAGATATATGTAAATAAAACAGCGGTCGGCACACACATACGTTGACATTTTGATTTATATTTGTGTGAGTAATTTGCACTGGGCAGCTCATCGATGTGTGTGTGCAGACCGCTGTTCTACAGTGTACGTGAGCGAGCAGCGGCTGGGCAGAACAAAACCCTATGCTCACTTAATAGGACGTTGCCGACCGCTGAAATAAAACAAAAACACATCTTAACGAGGTAAAGCGTAGTGACGATCGCACCAGCAACATACAAAAGTTCTGATAAGGACTTTTGTGACGAAAAGTCCTTGTACATTCGACTAAATAAATATAGGTATTTTATAAAATATTTTCATTCGGTCCGTTTCTGTGAACTTTAAATTCAAAAGCAGATTCTATTGCAACGTGGCGAATGAAAATATTTTATAAAATATATTTATTTAGTCCAATGTACAAGGACTTTTTGTCACAAAATTTGATATCAGAACTTTTGTATGTTGCTGGTACGATCGTCACGACCCTTTACCTCGTTAAAAGGTGTTTGTGTTTTATATCAGAAGTTTTTGTTTTGAGAATCAATCACTTTTGCTATATTACTCGGATGAAACATTGTATAAGGATTTAAATCCATTGGCAGGGTCAAGACTAATTTGTTACCTTATCCCATACTTAATTATATACCTTTTCTTGGAATTATGTAACTATCTTCGAAGATATCCGAAATTTGACCAAAATTTTTTTTTAGGATTTTCGGCATCTTATAGTTAGTTTATTACGTAAAATTGTTAGTCGATGCAAACTTTTATGTTTTACTTATAACTTAAAATGTATAATAAGAATTTGTTCTATTCTAATTGGTATTTGGGCATTCAAGTAAGCATGAAATGTTTTCCATACTAAACTGGAACGGTTTGTAAATTTTATCGCTCAATTACATGGTGTTATATATTAAAAGTTAAGAAATCTCAAGGGCTATTTAGTTTCAAATTTAAAAAGAAATCGTTAGAGCCGTTTTTGAAAAAAATAGCAAAAAATTTCAAAAAATAACTTTGGCCATAAACTTAAAAGTATCTTATTTAGCCCATTTTAACAAAGGCGGCGTGATTAGCATATTAAATTACCATTTCAACGAGGTATTGCTTTAGTCGTTTAAAAACTATGAGACTTCAAAATCTAGCTTTTTTAATTATTTCCCGCCAAATTGACGGGTTTTTCCAAAAGTCTTAGAACAAACGGCTCTTATATTGACTTGCTTAACACTATAAAAATTATTATAGGATTCAAGGACAACGATTGGATCCATACATACAAACAAACGGACAAAAGCTTTCATTTTGGGAATAAGAAGAAAATCTTTTTTTCGGTATAATTTTTGAACGGAGCATCGGATTTTATCATATGACCCCTAATTGGACGCGTATTTTCAATAGGAACACAACTAAAATAATGAATTTTTTCTCACCGGCCCCAACAGCTCAAAAATTCTATAATTTCACTTTTTTCTTTCTCCGCTCTCTCTCCCAAGCCAATTGATTTTCTAAAGTCTTGGTCTCGTTATGATCGGACCATCACAGAAGATTTTCAATTCTGCGGATATATATTAGTAGTCGCCTTCGTACACTCTCCTTGTTCGCTTCGTCACTACATGGACTGCCGTCCATAGTGACATACACAACAAAATCGGCTGTTTGTTTCAGCCGAGCGCCATGTCCCCCTAACGCCCAAAATCGCCTTAAACACTTTTAAAAGGTGTCTGGCGCACACGCCTTTGAAGATTTCGGAATTTTTTCAAATCGGATCATTAGTTAAAAAGTTAGGCATGATCAAAGCTTTATACCACTATCTCCCTCGCAGTCCCTTAACCTGAGTAACGGGTATCTGATAGTCGGGGCACCCGACTATAGCGTTCTATCTTGTTATTTTACAGAATTTCCTTTTTCTATTGTAGCGTGCCGGATGGGTACATTTTAGTTAATATATTTATTTTGTCGAGTGTAAAATAGTAAAAGGGTATTTTTGGTTGATATAAGGTCGGGGACCCTTTCTTCTACATTTTACATAGGGGAGTGCAGGGTAATGTGACGAACTCGTCGAATCTCACATATGACGTCACGACAAAAATTCCAAATAAATGTAGTCGTCTCCTCTTATCGTGTCGACAATGTATTTAATGTAATGTTAATAAGAAGTCCTGTAATTTCTTCATGAGTTAATTTTTTCTAAAAAGGTGGTGCGCAAATTAGAAAACCTATTCAATTTATTTGTGTTTCAGCAGTGCCAGAGCAAAGATAAGTGGAAAATTAAATCAGATAAATATATGCAAGTATAAATGAGATCTTTATCAACAGTTTTCGGTACTTGGCGTTTTTTTTGTTTGCGCCGTTTGAGAGTGACACCCTTTTTGCTCCAACTGTACCTTGTAGGGTATCGTGACGAACCTTTTGTTGGGTATGGTGCCAATTTTTTTTATTCACGAATTTTAGTTGTTATCGTTGATTTTGTGTAAAGAACTATAATATTACCAGATTACCATTAAACGCTGCAGTTTTATTGTAGTTATACCCGTTACTCGTAGAGTAAAAGGGTATATTAGATTCGTGCAAAAGTATGTAACAGGTAGAAGGAAGCGTTTCCGACCCTATAAACTATATATATTCTTGATCAGGATCACTAGCCGAGTCGATCTAGCCATGTCCGTCTGTCCGTCTGTCTGTCCGTCTGTCTGTCTGTATGAACGCTGAGATCTCGGAAACTATAAAAGCTAGAAGATTGACATTTTGCATGCAGATTCTAGGAGTTCCTACGCAGCGCAAGTTTGTTTCAAAAGGGTGCCACTCCCCCTCTAACGCCCACAATCGCTTATATACGATTTTAAAAATTTCAATATTTCGGAAAAGTAAAAATGCAGTTTTATTGTGTTTATCAATACCTATCGAAATGTAGAAGAAAGTTTTTAAATCGGACCATTCGTTAAAAAGTTACGGCGGATCAAAGTTTAACCCACGAGTTAAGCCAATTATCTCCATCTCCTTCGCTCTCCCTTTAGCTGAGTAACGGGTATCTGATAGTCGGGGCACCCGACTATAGCGTTCTCTCTTGTTTTGTATTGATTTTAGTTTTGCTGTCAGTTGGAAAGGATGGTTCACGCCAAACGCTGTAGGCTCAGTAGATTTAAACAACTTTCTGCTTTTACACTTTAAAAAATATTGATTTTTGGGGAAGTTACGTTAAAAAAAACGAATCGTTCGTCACCTTTCCCTACACTCCCCTACTTTACTCTACCAGTAACGGGAACAACCATAACTACGGTAAATTCTTCATAACTGTTAAGACCTTTTAGATTTGTATGCATCTACGATAGAAGTGAACAATAGTGCAGTGGCTGGGAGGCCAACATTATTAACTGCCTAATTTAATAAAAAAATAGTAATAAACATTTATATTGAACAGTTTAAAGAACGTTTTAAAATATCTAGTGCCTCCTTTTGACTCTTTTTTGGTAATAAATTATATCTCTTAAACCAATAAAGAAAATTGAATAATAAAATAAAATGAAAATGTTTAAGACAAGAAGTACGCTGCACAAAATCATTCCTACAAATTATAAAGTCAAAATTTGCAACTAAACTTATTTAATACACAGTAACAATAAATGTGCCCAGAGAAGCTGTGGTTTTAAAGTGATGTTAATTTTGAGCGAAATAAAATAAAAATTAACAATAGCACTGTGTTTGTAACAGGGACCGTAACTTTTATGAGTTTTACGTTAAAAATCACATTTTAACAGTTATTTTCGGATTCGTTAAGTAAAACTCAAAAAATAAAAGTTATTTTAAAATAAAAATAATTCATTAAAAATAAAAGTTATTTTTTGAGTTTTATAATGAAAGTTAACAAATAACAGTTATTCATCGTGATCAAAAATAAAACTCAAACTTGATTTATGGCAATTTTGTGGGTAAAGCCTAGTACTCAGTTTGGCTAAGAGTTTTACTAGTCGAAAAATATTAATCTTTTAGTGTGACCGAAGTTTTCGGAGTTAATCCGCAATGCATGTAGCATGGTCTTACTCTCAGCAAACAAATCAACTGGCGCCAATTTTAAAATATTAATTCTTTTATTAATTCGCTGTTGGAATGGCGATATGTATTGCAGCAACTCCTACAGGCAGTTTTCCAATGGATTTTGTGGTTTTCCTTCCATTTATAAATTGTTATTGGCACACCGCTTCTGCACAAACACAGCCAAAGATCAAATTTTTTATTCTTTGGGCCGCGGCTAAAGGTGTTCATCGGAATTCATCCGCTAAATCTGGTATTTTTTTGGTATTTCCTTTTCATTTCCTTAGCTCAACTGAGTACCGTGGTGAAAAAAGTCCACGGCTAAAGGCTTTAGCTACCTATTTGCCTCTCGCTTACTCCTATGCTTAGCTAGCAGTTTTCGTCGTACTGAGTACTAGGCTTAAAACAAATTTAAAAAAATATAGTTATACAATGTGCACGGTTGGCTTTTTTTAAAGATTTTTAGTAAGTTATATAAAACACGGTTAGAAGGTTTTTTTTAAATTATTTAATTTT